GGGAAATGGAATACCCCCACATAACCAAGATGCTGAGTTCCTCCCCGATCCCGCAGCACGGCGCCTGGTCAGACACCTTCTCTCTGCTCCTGGCTCTTGGCGTTGCTCTCTACTTGGGCTACTACTGGGCATGTGTGCCCCAGGTGGGTGAGGGCTGAGCTCTGGCCGGCGTGCTTGGGGTTCTGGAGTGTATGGGGGTTAGTCTTCGGCCTGGGCTCCAGCCCTTTCTGAGAGGGTAGTTGGTTCTCTCCGCGCCAAGTGAATTTTGCTATTATGACCTACTGGAGAGCCGGTTCTGCCTCTTCAGATTCTCGGAATCTTCCCCTGCCAGCTGGGTCTTTGAGGCACAGGAAGGGTGAGCCCCTCGTCCTGACCTTTGGACAAAGGTGGGGTGGAGGGTATCCCTCGAGTGTCAGAGATCTGCGCTTTCTGCTTTCCTTTTTTAGGTGGCCTAGCTAAAATATGCAGGCTGCGTTCGCTAGCTGCACAGAATAATGGGACGGATGCCTGTGTGGTTATGGCACCAGTCCATCAATTTAGCGGGGCCTCCTTGAGGACTGACTGAGGTTCCTGCCAAGCCTAGGACAGATGGATAATTCTACCCCTACACACTCAGCCCTGTTTGAAGTGCTAGACTCTTTGTGTATACCGTGCTGGGGAAGTCTTAACAGGTTGTTTTTGACCAATTTGGATATTTTCTCAACTGAAATGTAGATAAGATACATAATCTACATATCCCAGGAAAGGTAACGTTTTTAATCTCATTAAAATCTATTTAGGTAAATGAGTCTAACAAGAAACCTATTGATTCAGCTTCTTTAAAAAGATCTATGGGAGTTAAACGCTCAGTCTTGGCTAATGGGAAGGCCGAGACAAGAAGATCACTTGAGCCCAAGAGTTTTGAGCCATCCTGGGCACCCGGCAACACAGCAAGGTCCTGTGCCCATACAGGGGTCATGGGACCTGTCTCAGAGCACAGAGAACCATTGTGGACACTGGGAAATCAAAGTAATGGAAATCGGGAGTAAAGAGGTATTTCAGTGGTTGAGGGCACCCAGGCTCAGTTCCTGGCACCTACATGGCACTCCCAGTTCCCAACTGTCTGTAACCCTCTCTGGGTTCCAGGGGCACCAGGCATATAGGTGGTACACACACATTCACGTAGGCAAACACTCACACATAGTAAATAACAATAAATCTAAAATATAAATAGTAAAAAATAAAAGTTTTAAAATCACATAAAATGCTTACTTATTAGCACAACACCTGGAATGCAATTAGCATTCAACCATTTTACCTACAAAATTATTTTGTTGCTATCATAGCTATCAGTTCCACTTTGCCCTGGTTTGCTCCATCTTCGGGCAGACCAATTAACCTATGAGAGTTATCATTTCTTTACTTCTGTCTTATCGAATAAGGTTGGGATTAGTCTGCATTATAGCGGTGATTTCATTGTTATTCCAGGGTTGAGGACCAGGGTCCAAGTCACAGGATGCACTGGGCCTCTTTACTGTGTCATTTGCCTAGCCCCTTTTGAGTAGCAGGACTGTAGATAAGACAAGATCTGATTAAATTACTTAGAAATGCCATTTATGATTAAAAAAATGTACTCTCCCAATGCTGGAGATTGAATGTAGCACCCACCACTGAGCTAACTATACCCCAGCCCTTCAATTTCAGTCTTTAACGTTAGAGTCCTCTGATTTCGTTCGGCATGCTCTTCTTAAGTCTGTGAGGCCAGGCCCTCTCATTTACTCCGTGTTTATGCAGAACCAGGCAGAGGCTGAGAGTCAGGGCTTCATGCCCACTGACCTCCTTTATTCCTATTATCCCATCTCTGTCCCCTTTCCCCTAGTTGGCACGAAGAAAGGAAATACTTGTTCACATTAGGACGCTTCCTCCTGCACAGCACAGCCTAAGAACTGGGGATCCACAAGAGAATATGAGGTGCCCTTGGGAAAGCAGCCCTTCAGCACTGAGCACACTCACATTAGGGCAGAACTATGTAGACATTGGGGTGCTAAAAAAACAGTGGGGCACAGGAAGAGCCAGACTGACCAGAGCAAGCCTCAGGGAGATGCATTTGGATCGACTACAATGTGAGGGTCACAGATTGAATGGTACTGACATTTCCTTGCCTGGTCAAGAATCCCAACCAGCAGAGCCTGGTGACACAAGCCCAGCACAGAGGCAGGAGGATCAGGGTGAGTTCAAGGCCACCCTGGGCTGGAGATGTCTCGGCCCTGAAGAGCACTGCCCCTGCGATCACAGTTTGTTTCCCAGCATCCATGCTGTGGCACTCTCAACTGCCTGTAACTCCAGCTCCAGAGGAACTGACACCCTCTTCTAGAAGCCCCAGGCAAGATCTGCATCTGTGTACACACACCCACAAACAGAGGCACATAATTAAAATCAAATCAAATCATTAAAAAAAAAAAAAAAGACCCAAACTCCAACTAACCACCCAGAGGACCACAGTCCTTTCTGTAGGGGGTCAACTGAGCAGTTGATATTATCTGTTCTCCCACAGATTTGAGGGGACAGGCTGAGTGAGGGAGTCAGTACCCAGTCAGCTGCAGGAGTTCCCTTTTCAGAGTCAGTTCTGGAGGTACACTTTAGGACTGGGGTGCTCTGGGGCACTACATGACTGTATGTATTATTTAAGGGGACCCTGGCCATTCCAGTCCGAGTTATTCTGGACCCTTCACTGTGGCAAAGCAGTGTCCTTAAGGATGGGCTCTGGGGAAGAGATCCCTCACCCTCCAGTGCCTGGGATGAGAAAAAGAGGCCAATTGTGTTGTGTGGTTACAGAGGCCTCGTCTGGTGGCTGGGCCCCAGTTTCTGGCCTTCCTGGAGCAACACTGTCCAGTCACTGCGGAGACTTTCTACCCCACACCGTGGTGTTTTGAGGGACGGCTACAAACGATCTTTCGAGTCCTCCTGCAGTCTCATCCTGATGTCCACTACCAGAGGTAAGGACGCTCAGAACACGAGGCTGCCAGTTTCTAGGGGAAACTGATCCACCTCTTTTAACAAAGGCCATCTTTGCCCTAAAGTGTGTTGATCTGAGCATGTTGAGATTGGGCATATGGAAAGACTCGCTACTTGGCACCTACACAAGCTTAGTAGTTTATGCATCCATTCTCTATGGTCAGCCTTACTGTTTTCCATAAAGCATGCCTTCAAAGCATACCCATGACGAGCTGCAGAGCTTGTGGGTGAGCCGGAGGGTAGACCTTTGAAGTCCAATTCCTGATAGTACTCATCTCTCTTAAACCCCAGCGAAGTCCTCCAGACCCCAGATGGAGGCCAATTCCTTCTCGACTGGGCTGCGCAGCCTAAGACCAGTCCCGCCCGGGACCCCACGACCCAGCCCATAGTATTGCTGCTTCCAGGCATCAGCGGCAGTAGCCAGGAGTCATACATCTTACACCTAGTTGACCAAGCTTTGAAAGACGGTTATCGGTAAGGATGGGGTACAGAACTTGGGAAGGGAAAAGTGGGTCTGACCCTGATACAGTCCTCTCCGGCGGCGGGGGCCTTTCTGGAGACCACCAAAGGGGAGGGTCTTCCTGGGAGGGTCTGGCTCACGTACCTGTGTTGCCCCAGGGCTGTTGTGTTTAATAACCGTGGCTGCCGAGGGGAAGAACTGCTGGTGAGTACCCTCCTTCCTGTGGTGGCCCTGCACCTGCTCCCTGGAGCACGCCCCTGGGGCTCTACCCACTTACCTCCCCTTCCACACTCCCTCCTGAGCCCTTCCTTGATTCCCTTCTCAAGGGCCTCCCTCCCTGGCCAATGACCCGGTTTGCCCTCAGACTCACAGGGCGTACTGTGCCAGCAACACTGAAGATCTAGAAATGGTCGTGAAGCACATAAAGCGCCGCTACTCCCAAGCCCCACTGCTGGCTGTGGGCATCTCGTTTGGAGGGTAATAGTTGCCTGGGTTTATTCCAAAGACCCAGCTGTTCCTCTTCTCCTTCCCTTCTCTTCTGCCCCGATTCACTCATGCCAACACTTCCTCATGGCCTTTTCATCCACTTTCCCAGGATACTGGTGCTGAACTACCTGGCACGGACCGGGAAGGCGGGAGGGTTGGCGGCCGGGCTGACCATGTCTGCGTGCTGGGATTCCTTTGAGACCGTTGACTCGTTGGAGACACCGCTCAACTCACTCCTCTTCAACCAGCCCCTCACTGCCGGCCTCTGCCGCCTCGTGGCCAGGTAGGACAGCGGACGTGCCAGGCTCTGCCAGCGCTTGGGTCAGATCCACATGGGGCTTTCTTGATGAGGTACGAAGACAGACGCTGTGAGCTCGGAGTTAGGGAGTCCAAACCCCGATGTTTTCTCTTCCAGGAACAGAAAGACGATTGAAAAGGTGTTGGATGTAGACTTTGCAATAAAGGTATTTTTCAACCGTCCCCCTTTCCTAGTGTCGGTCGGTCTCCTGTCTTCTACTATCACGTGCCTCCCCTACACAGGCTCGCACAATCCGCCAGCTGGATGAGCGCTACACAGCTGTGGCTTTCGGGTATAAAGACTGCGCGGCCTATTACCAAGCCTCAAGCCCAAGAACCAAGGTAGACGCCATCCACACCCCCGTCCTTTGCCTCAATGCAGCCGACGACCCCTTCTCCCCAGCCCGTGGTGAGTGGCTTCCACTAGGACCCCAAGGCTGGTGAACCGCAGATGTGGGTTGTAACTGAGGTATGAGCCCGGGGTTCTCATTACAGGGCAGCCTCCTGACCTCTCTGACCCCCCCCCTCCCCCAGCCCTCCCTCTGCAGGCCGCTCAGAAATCTCCCTGGGTCGCCCTGCTCATCACAGCTCGGGGCGGCCACATTGGCTTCCTGGAAGGGCTGCTACCCCGGCGACACGGCTACATGAACCGTGTTCTACACCAGTATGCCCGAGCCGTCTTCCAGCACTTGGTGGAGCTGCCTGGTCAGGGGGGGCTCGCTCCCGAAGAGGGAAAGAGCTGACAAGAGAGCTGGGGGGGGGGTCTCGGTTCAATCTTTGTTTGTTTATTAAATATCAACTCTTCCCGCCTAATGAGCTGAGGGTCACTTTCCCTTCTCCTCGGGCTGGAGGAGAGCATCCAGGAGCTTACTGTGGGTGTGGCCTGGCTGGCTTGGTGCTACCCACCGGAGCCCACAGACCACTGCTACCTGAGTCTTCCTTCGCCTCTTCCCGCCCTAACAGCGAGTGCCAGCCCAGACTGTCTCAGCCAAAGCCCAGGACCTCGTGTAATGGCTTTAAGGGGAGGAGGAGAGACGGTTTCTGTAAGAAGGATCGCAACGCCTCCAGGCTCCTGGGCATCTTCACATATTTCTAGAGAAGGAAGAGCTCGACTCTGGAGCCCTGGGAGGGAACGAGGGAACGAGGCAGGTAGTGTGCCCTGGGCTTCGGACCGCACTGTCCTAAATGGATCCACAGGTGACGAGTGCAGAGTGATGCGGGGCCACGGGCAAGCTTTAGCTGAGGGACAGGCAGGTCCCCATCAGTCTCGTCCGAGGTGGCCTCAGCTGCGGACCTCGGTGATTCTGCTCTGGGAGGCAGCAGTGTCCAAGCCTGATTCCCACCGCTCATCGAGGCTAAAGGAAACCTGGAAAGGCACTCTGGAGCAGCAGGATGGTCACAATAATAAGGCCGACACACATCAGGAGCAGGAGCCATACAGGAACGCTCCCTGAGGGTGGGATAAGGGGAGAAGTGAGTCGGCAGAGCGGCCTCGGAGCCACTTAAGACCAGAGCCCTTGCCAGGTGGGCGGTGGTGGCGCACGCCTTTAATCCCAGCACTCGGGAGGCAGAAGCAGGCAGATCTCTGTGAGTTCGAGGCCAGCCTGGGCTACCAAGTGAGTCCCAGGAAAGGCGCAAAGCTACACAGAGAAACCCTGTCTCGAAAAACCAAAAAAAAAAAAAAAAAAAAAAAAAAAAAAAAAAAAAAAGACCAGAGCCCTTAACCCCTGCCATTCAAGCAGGGGCGGACGGGTGGCCACAAACAGTCCGCCTTCCAGGGGTTAATCTCTGCTACACTAAAGATGAAGCGGTACCCCCCCACACACACAGCCCAACAGTGACTCACGCCGTGAGGGCAGCAGGTGCAGCTGACAACGACTATCCACGGCCACAGAGAAAAGAGCAGTTTCATGGGGCCCAAGAAGCTCTGGACCACAGCCCTTCTCAGGCAGAAAGGCCACATCGGTCACCACAATGCCATGGGCCTCCTTCACGTAATAGAGGCGCTGGAGGAGGAGAGAACAGGCGAGGGAAGCCCGGTTGGAGGCTCCCATGGGGGACACATGTTTCACAGCCCCAGCAGGCCTCCCCTATGGACTGGGCCAAACTCCCTCCTGTACACTCAGGGTAGAGCAAGCCTGCAGCCCTCCAGTGAGGTGGTGCCGACCTCTACCCATTACCTGGAGAGAGAAAGCTATGTAGATGGCGACAGAGCCGGTGACCGTGCCTAGGCCTAGGAAGGTACCCGATTCACTGTAACACACAACAAAGTATTCATTGTTCTGGAAGCTGGCGCAGAAACCCCCTCACCCGACAGCGGGTCCCTCAGGAGACTAAGGCAGGGGCTCGCTCCCAAGCTCCCGAGCTCCCTCAAGCACCCACCCTCCTCCCCGGCTAAGCGGCAACGTCTCACACCTGACACTGAGGCAGGAGATGACTTCATGGCCACAGGACCGGGTCCGAAGCGGCAAGTACGAGGAGCTGTCCCAGGCTGTGAGGTAGCAGGGTGGGGGCTGGCGCAGGCGCTTGTGGGGGATCTGCACCGTGAAGAGCCGCAGCCCGCCAGGCTGATCTGGAACCTGCCCAAATCTGGAGGCCGGGCAGAGAAGGCTCTTCAGTTCCTGCCAGCCCTCGAGGGTCTGTGAGTTCTTGTACCCTGGTCACCCCTGAGACCACCTCCCACGGGGCTACAGCCATCCCCAGCCCGCTCCGGTCTCCGCCCACTTCCCCCGTGGTCTTCACACCTGCAGGCCTGGTAGCGGTACGGTGTGCTGGAAGAAGAGGTGGGTCCATTCTCTTGCCAATGCAGCTGCGTCACTAACTGGCCTTTCTGCCACACGGAGGCCTTCAGGTCCCAGCCCACAGTGACCAGCTGGGCAGGGGTAAAGATTCCAAAGATGGACAGTTAGGACATCTTCTTTCCTAGGCAAGCAGCGTAAGAGGCCCCTCCCACCCCCTTTTCTGCACTCGCATCCCACGCCCCCACCTCCTTACCTTGCCATCAGGACCCAACGCCAAATCTCCAATCTCCCCTTCATGCGCTTTGAAATCCAGAACTTTCTCCAGGCTAGGTACCTGCAGCCAAGCCAGTATCACAGCCGGTTCAGACGGGACATAGCAAGAACACTATGATCCCCATCTCTCTCATCCTAAATGGCCACTCACAAGCTTCCCAGAATGCACATTCGAAGTCTCACAATTCTGGTGTTGTGACTGCAGCTGGCATTCACCTCCCTTGAGCCCCTAAAACCATACCTTCCAGACACGGACGTGGCCATCAGTCCCTCCCGTGGCGAGCAGGGTATTGTCGTGGTTGAAGCGTACAACTTTCTGCAGCGGCTCAGTGCTGAAGTCTGTCTGGACTGCCTCCAAATTCTTTACTTTGAGTTCAACCCCCTCTCGGTGAGCTTCTGCTGCTGGCTTCTTCTCCGCTGGAGCGGCCCCCTTCCTCTGTCGAGGTCCCTGCTCCTTGGAACCTGCAACGTGAACATTGGCCGGGATTTTCCAGGCTTCTTTGGTTTTTTGTTTGTTTGTTTGTTTTTTGAGACAGGGTTTCTCTGTGTAACAGTCCTGGCTGTCCTGGAACTCGCTTTGTAGACCAGGCTGGCCTCAAACTCACAGAGATCCACCTGCCTCTGCCTCCCCAGTGCTGGGATTAAAGGCGCAGCTCTGACCTGACCTGCCCCCAGGGTTGGTTGTTTGTTTTTAGGACAGGGATTTGCTATGTACCCTAGGTTAGCCTTAAATATCCTTTTACTAAATATCACTCCTAAGCACTGAGACTGAACCACCACAACCTAGCTGAATCCAGGCTTCTGCATTAACTAGTACCGGTCCTCCTCTACTGAGAGCACAGAGAGCGTGGGGGTGCTACCACAACCCCACATCCAATCTCTCTTCTTTAGAGACCAAGATCAGAGTGATTTTTTTTCCCCAAAGCTCCTCACTTGACTTCTCGGCTTTATTGCTCTTCTGTTGATGGACCTGGAATCGCAGAAGCTGACATCGGGCATCCTGTCCAGCAGCAAGGATGTCACCGGCCAGTGCCAGGTTCATAGTGGCCCGTGTCTCCGTGTCATGAGAGTGCAGCAAGGAGGCGCTCAGGCACCCATTGATTTGCTCTAGCTGCAGAAAGTGCTGAAAGGAAACCGAGAGGAGCAAAGTTCAGGCGAGCCCGGAAGTCACATCGAGTCCCGGTCTTAGTCGTATTCCTTGGCTTCCCGCATCTCTAGCTCATGGGGATTGTTGTCTAGAGAGCTTTGTGTTCTTAGCGGAGCTTCCCCAATTCGTACAGCAAGCAGGGCTTAGATTACTAGGTCCAGTTTACAGAAAGAAAGGAGTCCTGGCTCGAGCCGCTTGAAGGCAGACAAGACAATGTGCCTTCCCGGAAAAGGGCAGAATAAGAGCCCTGGACCAGCTTCCGTGGTCCTGCGTGGTAGGCAGCCCTGCCTTCACAGACCCGCACAGCTTCCAGTTTGTTTTGGGACGCCTCACCCACTCTTTCTCAGGTTGAAACCGGCACCCAGGCGTCTACGCGGGGTTTTCCCACTAGAAATGGGCAGGGCCCAAAGCAGGGGTACAGTCCACCCCTGCATCCCTCACCCCACCACCCCCCAGCCACCCCGGAATCGCCCCCGGCCACGGCATGACCTGTTCCCCGGGGACCCTGCGTTCTCACCACGCCATTCTTTATGCCGGTCTTGGCGGCGCCTCCTCCGCCCGCAGCGATGAGCAGCCCGGTCTTGGGGTCCACCCGGAGCGCGTACAACGGGAACGGGGCCCGGTAGAGCTCCACACCCCGGCGCCGGCCCATCCCGCACGCGCGTTCACTGCCGGTCCCGCGGAACCCGCGACATGCCGCGCCCCGCCTTCCACTGCTGCCGAGCCCGGTGCCGCCGCCGGCGGGAAGGCTGATGGACCCCGCTCAGTGCGGCGTTCTGGCCACCACTCAAACCACCGCAGGTCTCTCCGCTCTGCGCTCGCACAACTGTCTGGACTGGGGCTCGCAGACGCGCAGTGCGCAGGCGCCGCGCTCCTGGGGCCCCTCTCCGCGCAGGCGCGGGACGCCAATCCGCGTCAGCACTAGGGCGAGCGGGACGTGCTGCCACGGAACCCTGGCATCGGATCCGGTTCCGAGCCCCGAGTGACGGCGGGTCTGCCATCTTTGTGTGGGGCGTGGGGCTGGAAGGGATAGCTGAAGATCGGTAAACCTTGAACGAAAAGGTTCTCGAATTGGGACGGTCCCCACTGCGGGAGGGAGGCACGGACTCGTGGAAGCCGGAACCGTTTATGTGTTACTCCGGAGAGGAAGTGGTTTCTCCCAGGGCACAGCGAGGGCAGGGACTCCAAAACAAAGCTGGCTTTAAATCAGATCCACCGCTTCCTAATATCCTAAGATGAAGAAGTCACCCCCCACCCCGCTTTGATAGCACCCTCCGCAGGGCTCTTTCTCGTGGCTTGACACCCGCTTCTGGAACAGAGAAGTTATGGGTGGCGGTTGCTCCTCGGCAGGTGTCTTCTGTGTTCTGTGCCTGGTACCTCACTCCCACTCCTTCTTAAAGTTGTTTTATTTTACTCTATCTCTGTCTCTCTTGTGCATGCATGCGTGTGTGGTGTGGTGTGTGTGTGCGCCCCCCCCCCCCCCCCGCGCGTGCTTCTTGCAGGTGCCCACTGAAGCCAGAAGAGGGCGTTGGATCCCCTGGAACTGGGGTTACAGTTGTGAGCTGCTATGTGGGTGCTGGGAATTGAACCTGAATCCGCCGGAAGGGCAGCTAGTGTTCTTAACCACTCAGCCATCTCTCTAGTTCCCCCACACACACCCTATCCCCTGCACCCATCTCTCCAGTTCACCCCCACCCCCACCCCCGCACCTCATCCTTCTGAGGGAGCCTTTCTGGTCTGTCCATGGATTCCTGTGTTTCCCTGTGAATGAGTTACTAGCAATGTCTTTAAAAGTGGGCTGCTGCGTGTCAACCCAGGCTATCATCCCCTGAGGAATGGGCCCAGTGGCCTGATCTTTGATTCCAATGATCTGTCCACAGACTTGAATTAAACCGGAGAAGGGCCTTGCAGAGGTCCCTAAGCACCTCAGGAACCGGGGTATATGGCACTTGGTGTCCTTGTCCAGCCTTGCTGGGGACCGGCCTTATCCTTTAGCCAGTGATCCCATCCTGTGAGCACAGTAGGGCACAAACAAGATTCTCAGGCTTAGGCTTTATTGGCTACACTGAAGGCTGAATGAGGGCATTGGGTGCCTCTGGTCCTCTTCAACCAGGGGAGAGCAGGCTCCACAAGGGGTTCCCAGGGTTCAAGGCCGGAGAACACACCTGGCCTCCGGCCAGCCAGCCCTTCAAGGTGTTCCTGTGACTTCCCAAGGTCTGAGAAGTCCTGGTAGAGAGGGTGGGGTTTGAAGGGGGTGTTCCAGAGGGTCTCCGTTGCTCTGGAATTAAGATGGCAGCTTTTGGAGAATAGATTCTGGAGACACAGACCTCCTTGGGACAGGACCCGACCAGGGCTTTGGGGAGACAGTGACCCGTCTTGGTGCCTGAGGTGGAGACCTGAAACACTGGTTGGATTTTGTTGACTGGAGGCCTGCAGACCTGAGGCTCTCGTCCCGGGAGAGGGTGCCTGTGACTTGAGCTGCTGGTGCCTGGGTTGCAGGCGTTTGGCTCCGGAGGACCTCTCCTGGACGCCTTGCTTCCTGCCGCTTTTTTTCTGGTAGCAGATGCAAGGCCTTGGCCTGGCCCCGAGGCAAGCGGAGGCCGAAGCCAATGCCTAAGCGGAGAGGCCCCGATTCCTGGCCCTCGGCACAGGGCAGTAGTTGAGGGAAGGCAAGCAGCCTCGGCCCAGTCTTGTGCTTGGGGGTGGGGCAAGACGGGGTGCGGGGCTGGAGGCACGCTAGACAAATGGGGTACTCCACGACCGGAGCCTGGCCGGTTGTGCCTAGCCAGAGGCGCTGCAGAAACAGTAGCTGCAGGTCTCGGGCAATTCTGCGGTGCCCCACACGGAGCACTAGCGCTCGGGCGAGGGCCTCTGGGTCCTTGAATTCTGCAGGGTCCAACTTGCTTGCCATGCATCCCTCTGCCGCCCCAGGGGACCTGGTGTTTCCGGACTGAGGCCACTGCCATGTTTGTTTGTTACTGGGAACCCCTCCTCGAGATGGTGAGCTGGGGCTGGGGGAGGTGACTGTGGAATTGTGAAGGTCCTGGAGGTGGGGGGGAGACTGGCAAGAGCCAGGAGAGGAATTTTGTAGCTGGGAAAGAGAGGAGGAACTGCTAAGGGGAGGAGAGAGGCACAGCCCGTAGTTGTGGGGAGAGGCTGGGTGTGGAGAGGGGCGACAAGGGTAGTTCTGGCCAAAGAAAGTGGGGGGACTTGGGAGAGAGGAAGCGTAGGGAAGAGGGACAAAGTCAGAATTGGAGTCGGAAGAGTACGAGTGAGGCCCCGGAGAGCGGGACTGGGGCAACGAGAGGGGGAAGTAGGCCTGTGAGGGAGAGGGCAAAGGTAGATGGGAAGGAGGGAGGGTCAGATGGGGAGAGAGAGACGCTAAGTTGGATGGGCGGGAGTCCACAAACTGGGAGAGGACCTGGGGGGGACACCCTGGGGGCACTGCGTTCTGTAACAGCACCTGGTGGTCCTTGTTTTGAGGCAACATTGCCTCGAATCCAGGAAAAAAAAAAGTGGGTGGGGCAACAAGACCAGTGATTAGAGACCAAACGGAGTCAGTGTGGGGACCTCTGAGGCCAGTTGTGGCTGGTGATCAAGACTGCCTTCTGCGGCGGCGGCTTTTGCTGCGGGGCGTCAGCAGCAGGCCAAGGGAGCGCGAAGCTCTTCCTCTTGACTCTGACAGTGCTCCCCTTGACTCTGACAGTGCTCCGTTTGACGGGCTCCGTCCAGAGCCTGCCTCTAAGCTTGGCTCTTCAATTTTTCTTAGCCATTCGCTAGGGACGCAGGGAAATGGGGAATGAGAGCTGTCCCTTGGGAGCCAAGGGACCGCTGCAACTGTGTGGGTAGAATCCGGAGGAAGACACCGTCTGTAGGACCTGCAGAGAAGAAGACAGAGGTCAAGACAGGGGAAGAGTTGGTCCACTTCTGGACTCGGCTTCAGGTGCACAGTGCCAGTGTGAACGCATCAAGACCCTAGATGTGAGATCTCTGGATGTAGTTCAGCTGGTAGAGTGTTTGCCTAGCATGCATAAAGTCCTGGGGTTGATCCCCAACACCACATAGAGGTGGCATGCTAGCACAAGCCTCTCATCCCAGCAGGGACACAAGGAGATCAAGGCCAGCCTGGGTTACGGGAGTCTGTCTCAAAATAACAACAAAGACACTAGCAGTGTGTCACCTTTGAGGTCAGAAAGTCGGGCAAGATGTTCTAGAGAAGGTAAAGAAGTGGAGGAGATTGGAAGGATAGAGCATAGGATAGCGTCAAAAGAGGCGGCTTAGGGCGTAGGGATCAAGACGGGAAAGGAATGGAGAACACTGGGCAGTGACTTTTACCAACGTGGATTCCTTCCGCTGTTTCCAAAGACACTTCTTCAAATAGGGGACCTGGGAGAGAAAGAAAGCAGAGTCACAAAACAGTCCGTCTACCCCACCCCCCCCTCCAGCCTCTGACCCCTTAAACAGACTCTGACCCAGAATTCCAGTCTGAATGGTACCCTCCGTCCTTTTTTTCAACCAGAGCTCTTCTGTGGAACAGGGTTTTGTCCTTCTAACCCCGACACACAGACTTTGTAAGCATCCTGATTTCCTGGCATACTGGCTCCCCTGGCCTCTTGTCACCCTTCAGAGTGGTGTCCCTCTTGCTCAGCCTGGCCTTGGCTGAGGTGATTATCAGACCCAGGGGCAGCAACAGTGGGGTCCAGCTGGTAAAAGGCTCCAAGAGACGGAAGCTTTGCCTAAGGGGCGGCGTTGCCGCCCCCAGTGGGAGCTGAGGGGCTCATTCCCTGGAAGCAGCGCTCTCTGGCATCAAAAGCCTATGTCACAGAGGTCAGATAATGACATCATAGATTCTGTCCTCCCCCTCCCCCAATGCTCTGGATCTCCCCCCTCCCTCTCCCCCTCCCTCCTCTCCCCCTTCTCTCTCTCTCTCTCTCTCTCTCTCTCTCTCTCTCTCTCTCTCTCTTGCATTTGTTTTTTGAGACAGGGTTTCTTTTTGTAGCCCTGGCTGTCCTAGAACTAGGTCTGTAGACCAGGCTGGCCTCCAACTCACAGAGATCCACCTGTCTCTGCCTCCCGAGAGCTGAGATTAAAGGCGTGCGCCACCACCACCACCACCACCACCCCCCCCCCCCCCCCGGCTGTTTTGGTACAATTATCAAGTAGACAGAACTGTTGGATGCAGACCCATGAACCTAGCTCCGCCTCTAATGTTCATGATCACTCCTGGGGAGGGGGGGGGTTGCTGAGCCTTCCAGCTTCCTCCTTGACTTGCTTTCTAAGGAAAGCTGTCTTCCATACTCTTCCATCCTTGGAATATCATTGTATGTTTTAATAGCTGTTTTTAAGGATTTCGTTTATTTAGATGTATGTGTTTCTGTCCGTGTAAGTGTGTCATATGTGTTCTTGTGCTTGTGAAGGCCCGAAGAGGGTGTTGGATCCCCTAGAGCTAGAGTTTAAGACTGTTGTGAGTTGCCTGACATGGATGCTGGGAACTGAACTCCAATCCAGGTCCTCCGCAAGAGCAGCCAGTGCTCTTAACTGCTGCGCATCATTTCGGCCCCTAGCTGTTTTCTTTTCTTATTGTTTTATTAAATTGTTTATTTATTTACTTGTTTTATGTGCATTGGGGTTTTGTCAGCACATATGTCTGTGTGAGGATGCCAAATCCCCTGGAACTGGAGTTACAGACAGTTGTGAGCTGCCATGTGGGTGCTGGGAGTCGAACCCAGGTCCTCTGGAAGAGCAGCCAGTGCTCTTAACCACAGAGTCATCTCTCCAGCCTAGCTGTTTTCTGAACACTGTATGTGTGTGTTCATGTGTATGTATATACATGTGTGTGAGTTAATGTACATGTGTGTGTATGCATGTGGAAGCTAGAGATTGCTCTCAGGTGTCTGTCTAGTTACTTTTCCACTTTAGTTTTTTAGACAGGAGCTCTCACTGAGCCTGGGGTTTGTCAGTTCATTTCCTTCATCTAGGCAACCAACCAATGAATTCGAGTGATCTGCCTGTCTGTCGTGTCCCCCCCCCCCCCTGCTGAGTTCTGGGGACCCAACTCAGGGTCCCATGCTTGCAAAGCAAACACGCAAACACGTTATCAATTGAGCTAACTCCCCAGCCAATTTTACATAATCTTTTCCTGTGCCTATAGGTGGTTTATATTCAAATCTTTGACCCATTGTTTAATTGGTTTCTGTTATTGAATTTATTTTTATTTTTATGAGCCACCATGTGGTTGTTGGACCTCTGCAAGAGCAGCCAGTGCTCTTAACTGCTGAGACATCTCTCCAGCCCCTGTTTTTATTTTTAAATTTTTATGGGTATGAGTGTTTTGCTTGCATGCATGTCTGTGCACCGTTTGCATGCCTGGTGCCCTCAGAGGCTAGAAGAGGCATTGGAGCCCTTGTGACTGGATGTACAGATGGTTGTGAGCCTCTATGTGGGTACTGGGAATTGAACCCGGGTCGTCTGGAAGAACAGCCGGTGTTCCTAACTGCTGAGCCATCTCTCCAGGCCCTGTGCATGGGCACTCACACGACACAGCACACACGTGGAAGTCGAAGGACAAATTGACTCCCTCCTTCCACCATGTAGGTCCTGGGAATCAAACCTGAGGCATCGAGCGTCACAGCAAATGTGTCTACCTGCTGAGCCATCTTGCTGCCCCCAGTATCTATTATTGTCTCTCTTTTTTTCTTTTTGGTGCCCTGAAGCATTTTCACCCCTAAATAATGCACCATAATAAAATTAAGAATGAGTAAGAGGCATGGCTTATGGAAAGTTGGGGAAGGGGAGGCTGGGGAGATGGTAAAATGCTTGTTGTACAAGCAGAAAGACCTGAGTTGGGATTCCCCAGCACCCACATAAAAGCTGGTCATGGAGGCTCACGTCTCCAGGGCCTCAGCACTGGGGAGCAAAGACAAGTGAATCCTGGAGGCTTGCTGGCCAGGCACCCTTGCTGAAATGGTGAACTACAGATTTAGTATGAAACGCCATAAATAGGTTGGACTACAATAGATGCAAACACCTGACACTGACCTCTGACCTCCGCATGCGCACAAGGGCAAATGCACCCTCTCCTCTGTGCTGCTCTCCCAGACACACATGTACACAATGGGAGAAGGGCACTTATAAAAGGATGTGTTTTAGGAAGGAAGGAATATAGAGGCTGAGGCCTCGCCACCAGGACTGGCAAGCATTGACTTTCAGCACAAAATCCCAGATAAACCGGGCAATTTGGTTACTCTACTATTTGAGTCTTTTGGAAAGCGTTCATGTTCTAGGGATATGAGGACCATCATTTGAAGATTGTTTGTATTACAATATTTGCTGTCTTCCGATATTCATAACGAGCCCCAGTCAACCGTACATGAATTTATGCTACGGTGATGTCTGTTGGTGGACCCATAGTCACCATAACGATGGGAGCTTATATTCAGAAGAACCAACCAGGTAGTTAGAAGGATGCAAATTTTAGCCCTATTTACTGACCTTGAGGGAGGAGAGAGGAACTGAATTAAGTCACCAATGGCCAATAGTGTAATCGCTGTGCCTGTATGATAACTTTTCATTAAAAAAGAAAAAGAAAAAAACTAAACAATAGGGTTCATTGAACTTCTGGGTTGGCGGTCTCATGGAGATACTAGATGGATGGTGTGCCCAGAGAGGGCAGCTAGGAAGCTTCACATCCCTCACCCTTCACCCTCCACCTTACCTTGCCCTCCACGTCTCTTCTCTTTGGCTATTCCCGGGTTCTATTCTATCCTTTATGACAAAAGAGAAAGTCTAAGAATAAGAAAGCCTGAGTTCTGTGAGCTGCTCTATTGATTTATTAGACTGACGGGGCAGCATGGGAACTTCTCATTGACAGCCAGTTATTTAGAAGTCCGGGTGGCCCAGGACTCAGCATTATAATCTGACAATCCTTTGGGGTCAGTCCCTTTGACCTATGGGAGCCAGTGCGAACCTATCCAGGTGCAGGGTGCTAGAATTTCACTGAATTGTTGGACACCCGCTTAGTTTCAGACACGTCAGAAGAAACGGAAATTCTCACCGTGAGAGTGAAGAATGACTAGGGAAACGCCGGTTCCCGCCGACCCCGCATCTCTTGTTTTGTGTTAACTGTTTGTAAAGTATTGTTGAGCAGGGCAGGCGATCCCAGCCCTTGGGAGGCGACAGCCGGTGGATCTCTGCGAGTTCATGGCCAGTCTGATTTACAAAGTGAGTTCCAGGACAGCCAGGGCGGTGACACAGAGAAACAGTCTCAAAAAAAAAAAAAAAAAAAAACAATAATAAAATAAAATAAAAATGTTGAGCAAGTGAAAGGAAGTCCTCTAAGCATTTGGCATCCAGGTTGCAATGTGTTGTTTTAGTTTGCTGGCCGTTTCCTGTCGTAGATGTTATCTGCACTTACTCTTCCCACCCAAATTCCTCTGACTCCAGGCTTAAGAACGTCATGTTCTATTGCTTTTAAACGTTCTACTCTGAAACCCGCAGATAGTTGTTGAGAGGATGGATGAATAAGCTAATTGTCGTTGGCTGAGAGTTTGACCCGGCCGCCGCCTTTCCTTCCCATTTATATCTTGTTTTCGTGTGTGTGAGGGGGAGAGTGAGGCGCTCACGTGCGTGGGGTCAAAGGGCAGCTTTCAGGAGCTGGTCATCACTTTCCACCTCTTCCCCTCACAGAGTCCCTAAGTGTTTGTGACTGAGTCCAATCAACTTACTCTTGTAGGGCAGATAAACACCACCTCAGGTTCTTCATCAGACATGCCCAAATCTCCCGAGGTGAAAACTTTCAGCTCTACCTGGGAGGATTGCTTGTTGGCTGAGAATCTAAATAAACCATGGTCCCATGAAGTGTGAACCCTTACAGACCCAGCCTGGCTGTCCTCCAGTGTCAACTCTCGTAGAGATTCCTTATTTTCTTACCAGTTTCCATCAGAATTCTTTGATGGGCTTTTGCGTTCCTTTCTTAGCCAGAAATCACTTGATTCTGAAACTGCTTTGAGAAGACACATTGAAAAAAACCAACTCAAGTGTGCAGCCCACTGTAGCAGAAGAAAGAATAGCCTATCTTAATGTTTTGTGTTGCTTTGTTTTTCAAGACAGGGTTTCTCTGTGTAGCCCTGGCTGTCCGGAAACTCACTCTGTAGACCAGGCTGGCCTCGAACTCACAGAGATGCGCCTGCCTCTGCCTCCTGAGTGCTGGGATTAAAGGCGTGGGACACCATGCCTGGCCATCGCTTTTTTTATTGTCCCATTTCATAGTGAAAAGTGGGGGGGGGCACAGAGTACATGTGGGGGATTGGGGGGAGAGCACATGAGTGCACACAAAACAAGGTTTTCATGAAAACATTCACGTGGGGCTCTGGAGAGATGGCTCAGTGATTAAGAGGACTTGCCACTTGTCTTAGTCAGGGTCACTATCGCTGTGGAGAAACCATGACCAAAAGCAACTCGGGGAGGCTTTATTTTCCTTACATTTCCACACCACTTTCATCACTGAAAGAAATCAGGGCAGGAACCTGGAAGCAGGATGCAGAGGCCATGGAGGAATGTTCTCATGACTCACTCAGCCTGCTTTCTTATAGAACCCAGGCCCACCAGCCCAGGGATGGCCCCACCCACAGTGGGCTGGGCCCTCCCCCATCAATCACTAATTAAGAAAATGTCCTACAGGCTTGTCTGCAGACAGATCTCATGGAGGCATTTTTTCAACTGAGGTTCCCTCCTCCCGGATGACTATGGCTCCTGTCAAGTTGACTTCAAATTAGCCAGCACACTGCTCCTGCAGAGGACCTGAGTTCAG